TGGCTGGCTGGAAACATTCTACATGAATGACATCAGGACTCTCCCCTGCAGGGAATCCGTGTCTGACGTCTTGCAAGGCAGGCGGCTGCCTTCCACCAGACAAGTCCACATTCCACACATGGAAGGGAGAAGTCACACAGTTGTTCAAAGCCCAGTCAAGAAAGTCAGAAAGAGCTCTACCTCTCTCTCTCTCTCTCTCTCTCTCTCTCTCTCTCTCTCTCTCTCTCTCTTTTTTATTAATGCTCAAATTGAGTTACAGGCATGGGCATGGCGGTGAATATTGGTAGCTCCAGCACTAGGGAGACAGAGATTCCTAGGGCTTGCTGGCCAACCAGCCTGGTCTAACCAGTGAGTTCCTAGCCAGTGACTGGCCAGTGGCCAGTGGGGAAACTTTATGTAAAAAGAAGAAGGAGAAGGGGGAAGGCGGGGTCAAGGAGAAGGAGGGCGAAGAGGAGGAGGAGGAGAAAAAGAGTGATCAATTCCTAAGGAGTAGTACCTGAGGTTGTCCTTCGGCCTCCGCATGCACATCCATACATACACACTCTCACAGTCAGGTACCCCACAATAATAATAAATCACAAGCCTAGGCTGAGGAATAGGCAGACCCCCCCCCCCCTTTTGAAGAGGGAATAGTGACAGCGTGTCATTACAGATGAGTCAGAGAGACAAGAAATGCTACTGAGGCCAGCTCTGGGCATCCAGATAGTCATCATTGTAAAAACACTTTCCCGGTGAGCCTGATGTATCTGAAGTCCAGCAGCCATGTCCTGAGGACCTGCTGTCATCTTCCCCTTTCTTCTCCCGCCAATTAAGGCTCAGCCTCGGACAGCATCACAATACTGACACTAATGGACCAATGATGGATGTATCATGTGTTTTCCCGTGGTACCAGTCTTTGTATTCAGAAAGTGATCATCATACGCCAATGGTCTTGATGAAAGGGGAGGGGAGGAAGGAGGCTAAAACACACCAGCTGTCCTTCCCCTTCCTGTCCTCAATTTGCCCCTCATCCAGGAGCAGACAACTTCGTCAACTAACTGTCTGGCTGAATCGCTGCAGCCCTCCCTTGGTTCTGAGTTAGGCTTAGGGAAGTAACTGTGAATCTCTTTGACAATGTACCTAGTGGGGAAATGTTTCAGGGGGCTATGTAAGTATTTAGTGGGGGAGAATACAGGGAGGAATCTGTTTTTACACACATCACTTCTCACCTATCACATCTAAGATCCTTAAAAGCCCCAAAGAGAAAATTATTGGGGGGTGGTGTGGTGTGACACTTTAAATGGTGGTCCTAAAACAGGCCCTGTTCTGAGAAGTAATTACAGTATCATCAAAGAGATACTGATTACAGACAGCTGGGAGGTGGAGCGCACTCTAGACCCAAGTCCTTTCTACCCAAACAAAAGAGGCAGGACCACTATGGCCACAGTGTCTGCTGAACCCTTCCCCCACCTGCCCAAGACCCTCTTGGATGTCCAACGTCACTCAGAGAAACAGGCTTGCCCTATAGGTCCTGATGTCCCACTGGGGGAGGGAAGCTCTACTCTGCCACGGTGGCAGTCACTCTCTAGATTCCCCATAAGTTCTTTAGAAACCACAGTCACCAACCGATTGTTTCCCTTGCAGCTCAGACTTTTGGGGGTGGGGATGAAGTTGGGAGCAGAAGATGCCAGAGAAAACAGGCAGATTCAAATAGCCTTCCGTGCCCAGCAAACACGACCAGGCTGCCATGGTACAGACTCCTTGCACAGCTATTGGGTAGACTGAAAGGAGAGCCCTGCTGAGTCGCTAGCTTTCCTCTTAGTTCAGGGACTCAGCTCAGGCTTCCATTCTGAGCCTTCATCCTGTGATCCCGGAGCAAGTAGATGTTGATAAACAGGTGTGTCTCCCCATGAATGCTGGCTCCAGGCACTCTGGGTGAGGCGGGGAGTTCAGACTCCTGCATGTGTTCACAAGCTGTTTCTCTGTGCATGGAAAAGCAGGAATATGAAGCTATTCTGGTCTTGTCTACGGAGCCATTATGTCTTTGGTTTCCAACGTCATTATCTCCAAAGAGCAACATTGTTTCTTGATGCTTCTGTTTGAATGCACAGGAAGAAAAATGGCTGAGGATTTGCAGAGTGGAAAGGGGTTGGAGCAGTGGCCATAGACACTCATTTGGATAAACCAGCCCTGCTCTCTGGGAGATGTGTGCTTCCAATTAGAGAACTTAGCGATCGGCACCTAGGGGTGATATTTCACACTTACAAGCAAGTTAAGTTAATAAGGCAGCAATGGGCCCTCCAGACTAATGGGATGGGGGTGCTTTTTTTCCACTCAGAGAAAATAATTTCATCCATATTTGGCTTGCCTGGTGTAGTGCTATTTTCTTGCTTCTTTAGCTCTCTTGAGTGAAGGGCAAGGCTTTATTAACATAGTTGATGCGTGGCATAGATGTGGTCTAGGCTGAGGGTACCAAAGTTCAGGGCACCAGCTCCAGAGACCTTTAATGGCCTCTGGTAAGGACCTTTGGCTGAGCTTGGCAGTCTCTGGCTGAAGAGACAACAAGGAGGAAAGTGTCCAAGATGAAGATAAAAAGGTTGTTTAGGGAGGAGATCACACAAGGGGCTCACGAGTCAATAGTTACAATTATTTACAATGAAAAGGCTGTCAATGGATCACCCTGCTAGACACACTGCACACTGTGAGGGGACTAAGATGCAAATCTTACTGAAGAGGCCCCATTTCCAATAGGGCAGTCAACCTACTCCTTTGTACACATAGCTCAGACCGTGCTATATGTACAGTTACAGTAGAAGCACATTGTTACTCATGACGGCAGGGACAAGAGCCTTCATTCCAACAGGTCAGTATTTGCTTTGGCTTTGAGAGGTAGGGAGGAGTCTTGGATGAGGATGTTTCAAAGGAGAAAGCCGCATGAGCCAAGGTTAGAGGGCAGGAAAGCAGGCAATGAATATAGACGATGTGAACTCTAGGGTTGGTGCCCAGCACTTCCTTCATGGGGATGACAAGTGTGACGGAGGGATTCAGAAGATGAAATAAGAGCAGTAGGTGGTCACTGGGCTATAAACACTAATGTGATGCTCAGAGTGTGGATCACAGACTTACAGGAATTGAGGGAGTTAGGTCTACAAAGATGGTTGGCCTTCATTGTCACCTTGGCTGGCTTTAGAGTTACCGTGGAAACAGACCCCTGGGAGTGTGTATGAGGGCATTTCCAGAGAGCCTTAAAAAACAGGGGTCACTCACCCTGAAATATGGACCATCCTGCGAAGACCCATGCTCTAAATAAAGGCTTGATCTCCAGCCCATGGCACTATTGGGAGGTGGGAGAATCTTTAAGAGATGCAGCCTAGTGAGACTTCACTGAGGGTCCTTGAAGGAGCTAGTGAGAACCCACCTGCCCCCTCACCCCCTATCTTTCCCATTCCTCCCCTTCCTCATCATTCTCTTCTTTATTTTCCTTTACCTCAGATAGCAGGAGCTGAGATTCTCTCCTTTACCATGCCCTGTGACTCCAAACACAGGCTCAGATCAATGGAGATGCTTTGCCATAAACTGAACCCTCCAAAGCCGTGAGCCAAACAGCCCCTTTCTCTTTCTAAACTGGCTTGACTTAGGTGTGTGTTACATAGGGGAATGCTGACTAACACACACAGGATGCCAGATTCAGTATGTGATGTTTCTGGATTCTTTGTCCACAGAAGAGGACTAAGTGTAAGTCAGTGCCAAAAACTTCGCTGTTGATCAGATTGCTTGGAAATTATATAAAGAGACAAAGGGCCTGACACAGTTTCACGAGGGGGAAGTCCAGAGGAATGTGGGAAAGGTTAGAGGAATGTGGGAAAGGTTAGGGAGGTGGACGAAGGAATGGTTTGGAATGACCAGAGAATCTGGGAGCTGCCCTCTTCTGGGGCAACAGTCTGCATAAAGAAGGGGGTGAATGGGTACACAGCAGCAGCTAGAGAAGAGAACATCTCCCTTTTTGTAGTCTGCTCCCCAGGAAGAAACCGTATCCAATGACTTCTCAGTCTTTCTTTTAGCACTGAAGGTTAGGAGGGGCAGGGTAACTAAGACTTCTGGTTATCCCCTACCCCTTTAATCGCCCATGTGAGCCTCCTAGTCCCTGGACAAGGCAGCCTTCCCACTGCCCCTGGAAGGGCTACTTCTGCCATAGCACAAGGACTTAGGTGACTGCTTTGAGGATGAAGATCAGCTATGCGGCTTAGTATAAGCTTTGTAGCATGGTGACCCACTCAACAGTGCATTGTTTTGAAAAACCAGGTTCTAGATCTTTCCATGGCTCCAAACCTGGGACACTCTCAAGTGCTTGCTCCCCCCATGCTCCGTGTATGTGTGTCTTCATGTCTCTGTGTGTGTCTATGTGTGTGTGTGTGTGTGTGCGCGTGCGCGTGTGCCCGCACACCTACTCCTGCACCTGTGATATTTAGAAACCCTTCTGTTCTTTCTTACCTGACTCCCACCCTGGCATGCAGTCCTGCCTCTGCTTCCCCTTTTCCTCAGGCTTCTAGAGAAGCAATCGCTTAGCAGGGTTCCACACTCATTCCTTCTAAATTCTGATTGCAGAAACCTCAGGAACTCTTTGAGCCAGCCTAATTCTCCCTAATTCTTGTTCACAGAGATTTTCTTAGGCCCCCAGAGGCTTCCCATTCCCTGAAAACAAAAGCTGGGATCCCTGGCCTGGCATCTATGCCCTTCTCCAGCCTGTCTCCTCCGTTCACTGCCACGCCAGGAGAAACTCCTACCCTAGGCACTCAGCCTCGGGGCCTTTGCACACACCTCGCTTCTATTTCAGAGCTGGAATCATTTCCCAACCCTTCTTGACACCTCAGTTCTTGCTCCTTTCACCTCATTTCCCGAACACTCCCCGAACCTCCGGCTTGCTTTGCAAACGTTACATTCTCAGGGCTCTGAATCATTTTATAAACATCTATTTCACCCATTGTCTATCCCGGACAATGGCTTTCCTTTCTCAGTTTTACCTGCGAAGCTTGACCCAGGGTCACAGAAGAGTCGTCCCTCACAGGGCTGTGTTGAATGAGTGGAGCAACTGGAGACCTCTTTTAACCCCGGGGTACATCTATCGCAGGAAGCAGATGTGTTTCTTTACCCCCTAGAAGGGAGAAGTGACTCTCCCAGAGCAGGGCTACTGTTGCTTTGTGGCACTAGCACCCCAAACTCCACCTGGATAAATAAAAAGAAGTGTTATTTGAGAGGCAAGCCCTGGCCAGTCCTCACAGCCTTGACTCCCATTGTCCTCCTGAGCCAGGACTGCCAGCAGCTGCAGGCACAAGCCTGGGAAGTAACATGGCCACATCCTCTGGCGGGAAACAGACTGAACCAACAGGTGGTTGGGCTTTGGAGTTCTGACCCATTGGTCTGCTCTTTCCCAACCAGGCATGCAAAGCCTGGGCCTGGCGTCCAATTACAAGGAGGGGCTCCAAAAGACAACTTGAAGTGGGCAAATGTCAGGACTCAAGGGCACTGGGAGGGAGGGGCCTATCTGCTTCAGGACTCAGGATTAGTTAGGGATGTGGTGTCATCTCCCCCATGCTGGGCAAGTGGAAAGGGATAGGAGATTACAGTCCTCAGCAACAGAGGAAACGTTGGGGACAGAGGGCCAGGCAGCTGTCTCTAGCCACGTAGATCAGCAAGACTTGAGCCAGACTTTGGTAAAAAGCATTTTCACTGTCACAGGAACCCTAGTGACATTGAAACTGGGCCAGGGTGGAGTCCTTTCAGTCCAACGTCCTGCACTCAAGGGGTCAAACTATGCTCCACAGACTCCGCTTAAGCAGCCATTGATGACTCCTCTGCCAGCTCCAAGGCCTCTTTGATTCGTGTCTATCTCCTGCCTTGGGCTTTTGAGAGCTGACCATTTATTAAAATCATTCAGTCAAGTTGAAAGACCACAGAATTACCAAGTTCCCCTCTTTTTTAATTTTTTTTTCCTCTTTGTTTTTTGAGTCTGTGTAGGCCTGGCTGTCCTGGAACTCACTCTGTAGACCAAGCTGGCCTTGAACTCACAGATCTGCCTGCCTCGGCTAGGATTAAAGTTGATTAACACTGGGCCCAGAGATTCCCCTCTTTTCTTTTCACAAATGAGAACTGGCCTGGGGTTGGGGTGCTGGAGAGGCGGGATTGGGGCTCTTGCTAGCAGTATTCATTACTTCAGGGTTTGGAGTTGTGTGTGGGGGGGGTCCTTGCAATCAGACCTAGAATTGGAGGATAACAGCTGCTCTCCTCAGCCCTTAGCACACACTTGACTGGCTACGGCAGCTGGCTGCCAACCTGGTGAGGTAGCTGCCCTCTTACTTAGAGTCAGTGAGTCAAACACTTGCTGGGGGTTATGGCTGAGAGAATGGAAGACGCCCTATGTGAGCATTCGAGCTGATGCTACAGGTAGGATTGCAGAGCGAGGGTGTACATCGTCAAATTCATTCGGTATCTCGAATTTTGGCTCTTAGCGACTAGACTGGAGAGATCTACTCTTGCAACCTTCTGACAGGGTCAGGGTTTGAGGGGGCGTGTCTTGAAAACGGGTTCTTGCGCAGCAAAACCCTGGTTCAGGTGAGGGCCTTGTCCTCCGCTCACAGCTCTATTTGAAAATGACAACTACATCCACCTCTGGATCGGTTCATGCTAACTGCTAACACACCCAAAGAACGCAGGTTGCGGGGAGCTGATGTACCGTGGTTTCCTCCTATTTTTCTGCTTTCCTCCCCTGAGTTTACTATTTCCAAAAGATACAAGCCTGTCGCGGTGTAAGTCTGGCCAGCTTCCTATCCTCGCCAGAGGAGGAAAATCAAAAAGCAACAGCTGCTGGCAAATTGGCTCGGGCGCTGGCCGCTTCCTCCGTGCGCGCGCGTCTCCTGTTGCTTCTTCCAGCCTTACTTCCCTTTGCGAAGAGCGGAGAGCTCGAGAAGAGGAAGGCGCAGGTCACAGAACAGGGGACTGGGAGGGTCCGAGAAGCCAGAGGACGCGAGCGACTCGGGAATCTCAGCCCGTCAACCCGCTCCGGGAGGCGGGAAAGCTACAAGCCGCGCCCACCGCCCTGCCCCCAGCGCGCCGCTCCCGGCAACTGGGACTCGGCACATCCTCCCGGGATCTGCTTGGAGGGGACCCAACGCCTAGGTGAGCAGCTGGGGAGGTGGGCAAAGTTGGCGCCTTATTCCGAGGGGAGGTGGCTCGGGTGGGGACCCATTCCTCTAGCGCCAGATTTCTCCGAGTCTTGTTTGTTTCAGTGGGGTGTGCCCACGTCCCCGCCTGGGCGGCGGGAAATGGCTTTGAGAATGTAAACAAGGAGGTAAACCAAGGGTCCTGGGATGGGGACACAGGCACGGGCGGTGGGCGATGCTAGTGACTGGGAAATGCTTTCGAGGCAGCTCTGAGCTTGGGTCAGGAGTTCCAGGAAAAGGGGAGAGGACCCTTTAACGGGAAGCTTCCCTTTTGTTACTTGGAAGCTGGGGACCCACTGGGAGTGGAGATGCCAGGAACTGGGAATGTGGCTAGATGTGAACGTGGACACACGAGCCACACAAAATGGAACTTGCTGGCTTGGTGCTTGTGGGTGTGGGCGTGGGCTGGGGAGTGGAAAGGGGGGGTCTGAAGAACGCGTTGTGGTTCTAGGGCGAAGGGATTCATCAGACTGCATTGCCTTCTCTTGGTCTGCCAAGCCCGATTTTCTTTCCAGGGCCACTGGTACCCTATCCCCACCATTCCCTAGCAGGGCTGGCCCTGGTGTAGCCTCCCCCTTTGTGTCTGCATGGGCTTTCTTGTAGAGTTGGCTGAGAGCCTAGGTCCCTGGGCGCCTGCTGCCGAACAGTCAGGCTGGAAATATGGGTCCACTCAAGCTACCACCAACCTCCAGAACCAGAGGTTGAGCGACTGAAGGCTTGGTCCCACCGATGTGCTTTTATTCTCTTTGTATAACCTGGCTTCACTCGCTGCTGGAACTGGGATTTCCAGCTTTGCAGAGGGACCCGTGGACATCCCAACCCTCTAAGAAAGGACTCCTGGCTCTGGGGTTCTGGCTGACCTCATATTGTAGATGTATGAATGTGTGTATCTGTTTTCCAACTTGGCCTCTTGCACGTGACCTGTCTCATGGTTGCCATGGAAACCCCTCCACTTCAACCCCCCCTTTTTCTGCCCATTCCTCACCTCCGATTGCCTCCCCTCCCCCCAATATGGTTGCCTAGATACTGGTTACCCTCGGCTTTTAAGAGAGGACACCCTATGCCTAGCTCCCACTCCAAACTGCCTGGCCCTTTACCCACCCCATCACCACGAGCACCACAAACACAAATGCACACACGCCACACACAATACCATCACAGCCTCACATGCCTGTCACCCCACACAGTCCATTAACATAATCCACACACATTACAACACATACGTTTATATCACATATACATGAGTGAAATAAAAAAATGAAACCAGCACATAAACAATAAAGACACCAAATGCATACCAACCAAATAAATACCGAATACATCACACACCCTACATACCACATCCACAACAATTACACCAAACACACACCATACAACATCCACACCAAATACACTATTTACACCCCCACATGCACACTAACATTGCATACCACTTACACTCAACCTTCACTGTGTGTGAACACACAAACTCCACCTGTAACACAAACCTTCGCTTTATAAATACTCTCTCTCTCTCTCTCTCTCTCTCACACACACACACACACACACACACACACACACACACACACCAGACTGGGTGAGGCTAAGCAGAGAGAGGTCAGTTTCTTCACTGTTCAACCTTGTCCTGGATTCCTGGAGTCTGAAGAGGGAGCAGTCCAGAAGGGATCCTCTGACGTCTCCCAGGGACCTTCAAGAGAAGGTGAAAGAAAAACTTCCAGGCCTCCTTAGTAGAGGGGCACCTCTGCTAGGTGCCAGACTCCATAGGCTAGGCTTGGCTCAAACCAGAATTTATATATCTGCGGGCTATGTTCTTCCCACCCTGAGCCCAACAGTCCCTTCTGACTAGAGGGGGCTCTGTGAAGGGGAGGGAAGCCAGTTATGGAGAACACAAGCAAACAGAAAGAAGAAGCAGGGAGCAGAGATGTCACACACAGAGAGAGAGAGAGAGAGAGAGAGAGAGACAGAGAGACAGAGAGAGAGAGAGAGACAGAGAGAGAGAGAGAGACAGAGAGACAGAGACAGAGAGACAGAGAGAGGAGCCAAAGAGATGGAAGTCAGGTTACCTGTGCTGTGTGGAGTTCAGGTCTCTCTCCCTTCAGTCCCATTTTCCCGCTTCCTGATTGCTCCTCCAATCACTGTTGTGCCTCTGGGAGAGTAAGCTGCATTGTCACGGGCTGTAAATTGTTAGGACACTTCCAAGACTTGTTCTCAGATGGTGGGAGCTTGAGGGAAGCGTTCCCCTCCAGGTTCCAGCTGATATTTGGATTGGTGGAGAACCCATTTTGTTCAGTCATTGAATCGATTTGAGCACCTACTATCTATCTATTAACTTCATCTACTATCTACCTATTAACTTCACCTACTATCTATCTATTAACTGTACCTACTATCTATCTATTAACTTCACCTACCATTAACTTCACCTACTATTTATCTATTAACTTTGCCTACTATCTATCTATTAACTTCGCCAACTATCTATTAATTTCACCTATTATGTATTAACTTCACCTACTGTCTACCTATTAACTTCGCCTATTATCTATCTATTAACTTCACCTGCTATCTAACTGTTAATCACCTACTATCTATTAACTTCACCTACTATCTAACTGTTAACTTCACCTACTGTCTATCTATTAACCTCTGGGGTCATGACAGTGAGGAAGGAGATACAGTCCCTGACTCCAGTGTCTCAGGAGCATGACACAGGTGGGGAAACTGAGGCGAAGTCTCACAGCCAGTAGTGGTTGGGACCACTCAGGCAAGATTCTGGATCTCACACTGTCAGGCCTGTACCTCTTACCTTCTTCCCTCGGAGCCTGTCAGTCCTTTGGAGATGGGACTGTCCCTTCTAAAGTGAGGGTTGCCTCATAGGTGTAGATAATAGAAGCACCTACCACATCATATTTTCTTTAGAGTGTCGTTGGAGGCTGTGGCAAGGAGAGGTGAGAAGAGCAATTTCATGGAACTTAGACCCGGTCCCCCCACAGCCTTTGGGACCCCCACAACCTTTGGGACCCCCCACAGCCTTTGAGGAACCAAGCCACCTAGATTCCCCCATGGAGAGCACACAGTCCTCAGCCTCCACTCTCTCCCTGTCGGATGCAACAGGCTACCATCTGGGTGCAGAGAGTGCCAGGGAGCCCCTAGGATCACCAGGATCACCATCTAACTGAATGCCTGTCTGCCCCTCCTGGAGTACGCAGGAAAGGCCCAACTCACAGGAGACAGAGCCTGTGGCCCACAAAAAGCCTGGGTCTGGCTCCCTGGCCCACTCTCTGAGTGCTATGCTTCCCAAGGGCAAGTGCATTTATCCCACAAATATCATCTTATTGGACACACCACAGGTCTCTTGATGCAACCTAAAATGGCTTGGCCTGTGCTCAAGTAACCCGAGGCCTCCAAGACCTTAGGAGTTTGTTCCCGCATCTGTCCACAGGGGATTTACTCACTTCCGAGCCACCTCCTTCCTCTAAATGTGTGCGGATTCCACAATCTTGAAAAAGATTACTTCTCTCTGTAGGTACCAATGTGGTGGGGATGCGGCTAAGCAGAGTTGGTAAAGAGACTGTCTAGCCACTCTGGAGAAAGGTCCTCTTTTATCACTGGCCAGCCAATGGCTGAGAGGCCAAGGATGGGCTGAATGGGGGAGGGGGTGGTTACTGGACAAGAGTCACCTTTCTGTTCTGCCAGGACACACATGAGGCCTAAAAGGCTTAAAGGACCTAAAGGGCCACCTCTGCAGGGCATGGAACTGGGACCAGCATGTAGTGGGTCTCTGAAGACCTCAGTACAGTTTAGAGAGGTCGGGAACACATTACCTTGGCCAAGACAGAAGCTGGGAGCCCATTTAGTAGCATCTTCTCTGTTTTAAAGCCAGCTTGGAAACAACATAGGAAAATTTCTGTCACAAGGATGTCTGGCTGGGTGAGGGAGCAGGGAAGGGAGGAAGAGCTCCAGACCCCGGGGATCGAGCTGGGACTGCGGGAGTCTGCCCCGTTGAGAACCATGAATTGGGTAGAGAGAGACAGAGAGCCCCTGCTCTCCACAGCTCCAGAGCAAAGCCGGGCCTTGGTTTCACTCATTCACCATCTTAGCAGATTACAAGTCCCTTCAACAAGGCAGGCCCTGTGGGCTTCTCAGAAGCCTGTGGAGCTGCGGTGCCCTGATTTCTCCTCCACTCCCACTGGGGTGGATCTGATGATTTTGCCTGTCCTTCCCCCTGCCTACTGACCTCACCTCTATCTTCCATCAGGAGACCCTCCTTGGGGGCCTCTCCCTCCACAGGAGGGCTCCCCAACTCATAGACAAGCACGTGTACACGCTCACGCACAATCCCGTCCTTACACATACATAATCTTTCGTCGCTGACACATAAGCAGGTGCCTGCATGTTTCTGCACACCTCCCTCCTTTACCCAGCAGCAGTCTCTCACCCTTGGGTTGGCCCTAGTGAGTTCTTCTCAGCCACCAGATCTGCTATCTGTGGCGCCCGGGGCTCCAGTCTGGTTCTGCCACAGCCCCTGTGTATGTCTATCTGTCACTGAGCACTGACAGGTGCGTAGTCCTACCCTGCAGGCCCTTCCTAGTCAGCTGCATGCAGGTGCCCTCCCCAGCCCTGTGCTCTGCCTTCTACTTGAGACTTACTAGAACATGCTCTTCCTCCTGTGGAGCTGGTGGTGACAGCCTTTG